GGCGGCGGGGGGGGGGAGACGGGGGGTGAGGGGGGGGGGGGGGCCGCCAGCGGTGAATTGGCCAGCGGGATTGACCTGGGCATATGCAGACCCGGGCACGCGAGTGAGTCCGGCCCCGGGGATTCCATTCCCCACCCCCTGAGTAGTTGTGAACTGCCTGGTTGGTAGACACACTCACGCAGCGTGAACACATCTACCAGCCAGGCAGTTCGCAGCTACGGACTGATACACCTAATAATAAAATGTACTTAATTGAATTGGCCAGCGGGATTGACCTGGGCATATGCAGACCCGGGCACGCGAGTGAGTCCGGCCCCGGGGATTCCATTCCCCACCCCCTGAGTAGTTGTGAACTGCCTGGTTGGTAGACACACTCACGCAGCGTGAACACATCTACCAGCCAGGCAGTTCGCAGCTACGGACTGATACACCTAATAATAAAATGTACTTAATTAGAAAATACTGGACATTTTATATGTCCAGTATTTTCTCAATTTGTTTCCTGGACAGAACCCTCAAATACTGGACTGTCCGGTACAAAACTGGACATCTGGCAACCGTATCCCTCCTTGCACCCTCTCTCCTAGCCAGATACCCTGCCCCCAATCTGCTCCTGCTTCCGCCTCCTGGAGTGCCCATGCGGCGCCATGTCCCCCAAGTCCTGGCCCAGGCTGGCCTGAGGATGCAGCTAGGTGAAACACTGAACATTTATTCATTTTTAATTATTTTTTTATATATGCATTTACATTTTTGAGCTACAAAAAACAGTACTGGAAAAAAAACAGGTTCAAATTAAACAACTTATTTGAATATTCATAATTTGCTTAATGAATATGCAAATGAATGCTACCAGTCCTCCAGGAGCTCGTGAATGGATTTACTGGTCCCCATGTCAAAAAGTTTGGGAACCCCTGTTCTAGAGAAAAGCAACAAAAATGATGAAAGGTCTAGAGAACATGGCTTATGACAGGGCTGGGCAAGATGGTGACTGAGGACCAGATCCAGTCTGCATAATACTTTGACCCAGCTCGTGGACTGCATCTGGCTGATTTCTATTTATATCCTGCTGCCCGTACTACCAAATTTCCAGGCAGTAGCTCAGGCAGCAGGATCCTATTTGGCTCAGTTCTACCCTGGCAGGGGCCAGAGCCACAAGCCCTTGAAATAGCCGCAGCACCCCTGGGCAGCTGCCAGGTAATGCAGTAGCGACTGAGCCATGAGTCCTTTGCTGTGTTATTCCTTCAAAACCTCCAGCCCCAGAAAACTCTGGAGGGAGGCTAATCCCCAGCCTTGCCCCTTCTAAGGGGTGGAGCTAGCCGGTGACCACATAACAAAATTAAGTGCCCTCCCTCCCCCCCCCCCCCCATGAAATTTTATGTAAGTTTCACATCTGATTAATGAGCTCTTCCCATGTATGGGGGAAGGGCACTTCTCCCTCAGCTGCCCATGAGCTTACCTCTCCCAGCTGGCAGATAGGGGGCTTTGGGGAGGGGAGTTTAGGGTGTTTTTGGGCTGTGGCAGCAGGGAAAGGAGAGAGACTATTTGGATTACAGCACCTAGTTGCGTGTGAGAAACATGTAAGTTTCACATCTGATTAATGAGCTCTTCCCATGTATGGGGGAAGGGCACTTCTCCCTCAGCTGCCCATGAGCTTACCTCTCCCAGCTGGCAGATAGGGGGCTTTGGGGAGGGGAGTTTAGGGTGTTTTTGGGCTGTGGCAGCAGGGAAAGGAGAGAGACTATTTGGATTACAGCACCTAGTTGCGTGTGAGAAACCCAGAGCTTTCTTCACCCCCAGCTGGGCTAGGAGTGGGGGGCAGGGTGGGGAAGGGAAAAGAGCAGACTGCATGGGGTAGGTTGAATAAATGGGTGGGGAGGGTTCTGGTGAGGTGAGGAGTTTGAGGTGTGTTCTGACTTCCATCTGAGCTGCAGTTGCTAGTGGTTACAACTTGGAGTGGGGAAGGAGGTTGTGGGAGGAGATGGATGGGTGCTGGCATGTCTGTGATGGGGAGTTTAGAGCATCCTGACTCCCATCTGGGCTGCATCAAGAGTCAGACCTATGCAGTGGAGGCACACGGGGCTGAGGGGGAAGCAGGCTTCATAGGGGGTGCCAAAATTTCAGGTGTGGTTTGGGAGGGGGGCATGTGGCTACATGGGAGATGGTATGCAGCTGGGGAAAGGCCATTGTCTCATTAATGAAATAGAGGGAGCTTAGTCAAAGTACATCTTCTCTTCATACCAGCCTTAACAAAAAAAGGTGAGTTGGTATTAATTACCAACTGATTGGTGACACAATTTCAAGATCTGACATGTGCCAGGAAAAATGTATGTGTGCGCGCGTGGGGGGCATGGGTGGAAATAGAATAGTGTAGCACCCTGCTGTTTTCCACTGTTAAACTTACAGCAAACACAAAACAGTGAATTCTTTGCAGTTGTAGTCCAAAATATTTTTATGTAGTATCAAGAGGGGACGATAAAGAGGTTGCTTTTGGTCATGTTGAGTTTAACAAGTGGCCATCTGACCAGAAATGTTAGAAAGAAAGCCTAGGCTAAACTTCCGTTTAGATCATCTCCCTCCAAACAGAGAAGAGTGAAGAGTCTGTAAAGCATTTAGGGTACGTTTACACTGCAGGGCAAAAGTCAAAATAGATTAATTTGATTGTTGGCTCTGTCTCAACAGCAGGAAGTTGAAGGAAGAACATTCTTCCTTTGATTCCCTTACTCCTTGTAAAATAAGGGCTCAGGAGTTAGAGGAAGAAGTCCTCCAGCTTGACATTATTTCAGAATAATGGCTTGCAGTATAGATGCACTGTTTATTTCAGAATAATGTCAATTCCGAAATAATGCTGTTGTGTAGGCATACCCTTACATTGCTCTTGTAGATGAGGATTTAGCCTGTAGTGAATGATACCGGAGAAAACAGACTAGCTCATGACACTTGTATGATTACCTTTCAAATGAAGTTTACATAGGTTTCAAAGAGGTAGTCTGTTAATCTGTTTCAGCAAAAGTTACAAGGAGTCTAATGAAACTTGCTCTAATACCCTAATGAATATGTTAATCTTTAAAGTACTACCGGACATCCTTGTTAAAGCTTATAGGTGTTAATTGATTAAGAAAGAGAAGGATTCTTTTAACAGATTTTTTGAGAGTTGTGAAAACGCTTATCTTAATGATTTTTTTTTTTTTAAATTCTGTGTTGTTAAATTATTATTAAAATTGGAAGAAATTTACCACGTATCTTGTTTTGGCCACTCAGTTAGAGTTGGATTCCAGGCAAATGATTTTCATTAAGTTTTAGAATTTTGTGGGGAAGAGGTATTGCATTAAGGCCAGTTCTTTGCTATCTGGTAGAGTTCTGGCTCTTGAGACAATGGATGCACTTAGAAGTAGCAAGCACTAAGTGTGTTGCTAGATGTTTGCTTATTGGCAAGCTCTTTTGAGGTATGCACTTATTTACAAACTTGGAAGCCACGTGTTAAATATGCTCTGGGGCTTCTACTCTGAGTTAGTGACGTGCACAATTGGTTTTTATAGGTCTCTATTTCGCTTGCATAGCATGGATCCTAAACATACATTGAAAATAACCACAACCAACCACCTGATGTTTTACTTCCCTTCCTGTTTTCAAGTTCTCAGCTGTTTGTGACTTTGTTTGCTGCCCATGTTGCTTTATTAGTTATTTTTACGGTTCTGCATTTGTGCACTGTTAATTAAATTAAGAGTTCATATCCCCAAGACATTTGTATAAGCCTGAGTGAATGCCTTTTCCTCTACTTTCCAGTGTTAGTAAATATCATGTTAAAATTTGCAAGGAGAATGATTTTTTAGTTGACTCATAAATGTGTTTAGCATCTTAAAACTGAGCTATGTGTGGATAATATGCAGCATGCAAGAGGAATAGTTTTGTTAACTGCAAAAGTCTGTAGCATACTAGCGTTTTCGCATATGCTTCAGTTTGAGAGCAGCTTCAGTGGAAATTCTGAAGATATAGTGGCCTATGGGAGTAGGTTGTTAAATTGGGGCTTTGGTGTTTGCTTTTACTTAATGGCCATGTCTTGATTTATTTATATAGCTGTTTTCAGCATGCCCCGTTCTGGCACGCTTACTAGCTTGAGTTGTTAGGATGATATGTGTACTTCAAAGGTAGTGTTAATTTTCTTATTTGACTTCATGTTAAACATCTTAAGCATTTCGCCTTGTTAATTCTTTAATATCTTTGAGCTGTTTATACACACACACACACACACACACACACACACACACACATTTAGACTGTTTGTTTGTAGTGGTAGTGCACATCCACAGGCAACCTGTATATTGATGTTGCATGTAAGAAATGTCAACCTGTCCAAAAGACAATTCAGCCTCCTCAAGGATGGAAAATGTTAGAGGGAAAACTGCCTATGAGGGAAGACTGAAAGAATAAGGTTTGTTTATACTGGAAAAGAGAAGTCTGAAGTGGAGCCATAATAGCTTTCAAGTACCTAAAAGGTTGTTATAAAAAAGAGAGAGAAGAATTGTTCTTGTTAACCTCTGTTAGGACAAGAAGCAATGGGCTTAAATTGCAGCAAGGGATGTTTAGGTTGCTGATTAGGAAACATTTTGTAGCTGTCAGGGTGGTTAAGCACTGGATAAATTGCTTTGGGAGGTTGTGGAATTTCCATCATGGGATATTTTTAGAAGCAGAATAAACAAATACTTCAAGGATGTTCTAAATGGTGCTTGACCCTACCATGAGTGCAGCGGACTGGCTTCTATGACTTCTTAAGGTTCCTTCTAGTCCTATGATGCTATGGAAATGTAGCCTTGTTAGTCTGGTGTAGCTGAAACAAAAAACAGGACTATGTAGCACTTAAAAGACTAACAAGATGGTTTATTAGGTGATGAGCTTTCGTGGGCCAGACCCACTTCCTCAGATCAAATAGTGGAAGAAAATAGTCACAACCATATACCAAAGGATACATTTTTTTTAATTGAACACATATGAAAAGGACAAATCAAATTTCAGAACAGAAGGGGGATGGGGGGGAGGTAAATGTCTGTGAGCTAATAATATTAGAGGTGATAATTGGGAAAGCTAGCTTTGTAATGGGTAAGATAACTAGAGTCTTTATTCAAACTTAAGTGTAAAGTGTCAAATTTGAGCATGAATGACAGTTCAGAGGATTCTCTTTCAAGTGTAGTCTTAAAAGGCCTTTGAAGCAGGATGCAGGTAATCAAGTCGTTGAGATGATGCTATGGTTATTAGCAGAGTTCGATAAACTATACAGTCTACTCGCCTGTGGCGAGTAGATTTCAGCCACGCGCCCCGTTCATTCGCAGCGCACACATACACAATGTGGCTCTTGCGCATGCGCAGTACAGGGCGGTCGAGCGGTTTTCGCCGCTGTTTGTCAAACCCTGGTTGTTGTTATTGGAACACAAAAATACTAGTTGAGGTAACAGCACTGACTTTAACAGTACCTTTCCAGAGAAAGAGGATTTGTATTCTGCTTCTGGTTATTGCGTCCTTGTCTGCACTACTCATACTCAGTTATGTTTTTCCCTCTGGTTTAGAATGCACTTGGTATAAGATTGATAACCAGCAGTATGAAGAAGAGTTCAAGGACTTCCTGGATATTGTCTACAAGACAGAGTGCTTTTTGCAGGTAGGCATCTTCTTAATGATGTCTACTCCAATTAAGAGTTTGCTTAATTATTTGGGGCTTATCCATTTCCCATGGGGTGTCTTAAAGATTACAAACTTAGAAACAGCAACAAGAGATGAGGAAAAATGTGTTCAGGAATCTGGACTTGCCCTTTGAACTGACCCTTCTGAAGGAATGGTAATTTGGAAAGCTGCAGTCATTAGTTGATGGATTGCTTGAGGGAGTGGAAGTAGGGTAGCCTATGCCTTCTCTAGTGAATTGTGGAAGAGTCAAAAAAGGTAGTGGATTGTGCTGAATTTTTGTTGAAGGTTTTAATCTTGTACCCTTCAGGAGGGGTTCTCTTCTTGTGAAGAATTCTTATATAAGAGCCTCCCCCTCTGGGATGGTTTCTGCTGTCGATCGCAAATCCTCAGACTGGTGAGCTGGATCCCCCTCAGCAGCTTCTCAGGTATGTAGTCCAGACTATGATCTTGAACTGTGTCTGATCTGGGTGGATTGGATTCTTTCACAGATATTTGACTTCTCTCCTCTGATTTCAGAAATGAAACCACGTCTCTGTGAACCCCTGGCACAGCTTTTTTTCACATCATCCCTTTATTTTAAGGTAATTCAAGGTCATTCTATTGGTCACATGCCGATCTAGTTGATATTGCTATCCCCACTACAGAAGATAGGTGAAGCAATCTATAGACAGTAAAATAGGCTTCCCAGTTTGGCATTGGTCTGGGCCTATCCAGCGTAGGTCCTCCCTAATTTATAGAGCTAAAATGCATAGTGGGGGAGTAATTATTTTGGGAAGCCTGCCCTTGAAATCACGTTTTTTTTAAAGGAAATGGGGTGTTTGAATTGGAAATTCAAGTATATTTTGCACCCACTATGCTGCTGATTTTAGGATGGTAAAGACAGCTTTTCTTTCATTGTCTTCAGCTTGGGTTCTGCATCCTTGTACTAGTTACACCCTGTTAATCACCCTGCCAAGAGTGCAGGTGTTACTCTGATCTACATGGAGGTTTTAGCTAGCTCTCATTTTCTCATAGTCCTAATGATAAACTGCGTGAATCCCTCCTGGTATACTTTGAAAATGTCCCATTTTTATTTAGTATTCAGACACTCTTTATGATGTGCATAATCCACTTCTTTCTTTTCCTCCTGTAGTGTAGTGTTCTTGAGAGTCTGAAGGATCTGTTGCAGAACTGGCTGAATTGGCATGTGATGCAGTTGGATATAGAGTCTGATCCTAAAATCAGTCCTTTGTAAGTTCATCTGAATTGCACACAATACAGCATTTATGTGTGGAGTTCATGAAAATGTCCTGTTTTTATTCCGTGCCACAGAAGTTGACTAGAGAGTCAGAAAATGCTTTATTGCTTCTGATAATTAGCTTGATTTTGAATCCTGTTGTGTGTTGTTTTTGTTTTGTTTTTTTGTTAGAGTTGCTCTGATTTATTTATATCTTGAAGCAACATTAAAAGTATATATCTTAATATTTTGCATGTCTTTTCAGCCATGTAGTAATCAAAGTAGAATGATGTACCAGAAACATAAACCCATACATGCAGCAGCATATTAAAGGAGTTCTGGAATATGGTTGGACAGCTTCTACATAATCTTGGTGTTCGTCAAGCCAAAATTCCCTTTTCACTCATCGCTACTTGACACACACAGTATTTTCTCACTTAGAAAAGAACAAGCATTTGCCTAGGTTCTCATACCAAATTCTTCCTCCTAATATTTGAACACTTAATTCATATCCCTTCTTTTTTCACTTATGAGCACTTTTTAAATTGTCAAAGTAGCAAGTCTCCCAACTTACCATGGATCACAAAGCAGGCAGGTTGGAGTTAGTTTACTCAACCCAGGCTTGAGGCTGTAACTCTGATGCAGAGATGCAAAAAGTTATCCTCCAAAAATATTAACAATGGGAACATACATGCCCAAAAGTCAGTAAATTCAAGTCAAGTTCCCTCCAGCAGTGATGTTGAGGCTATGTTTAGTGTATTATTTTGGATAACTGTTCTGTTAAATTTAATTGGTGAATGTATCCATGTGGGCTTCAACATCTGAGCCTGAAGAAACCTAGAGTTCCCGCTATCATTCTGCTTAACTCTGCTCTGTATTTTAAAGCTGACAAGTTGTGTTAATATTATGTATCTCTTACTGCTGTTCTAGGAACACCACTCTTTCTGGACTGGTGAACTCTGTGGCTGAGCTGATCCACTTTGTCGGCTGGATCTCCACTGTAGCTCTGCGTTTGGAGAACAATGTTACTTTCTTGCTGTACTTTATTCTGGATTTCTATGAGACCGTATGTGTATCCAAATACTCTTAGCGTTGTGAAGTTGTTCTACTTCTCTAAGAGCAATTTCCATTCATTGTGCAAGTGTGTAATATTTCCTTCCTTGCAGTAATTTGTAGTTATCCCTGATTAAGTGCTAGACCCTCTAATTTCTGGACAGGTCCACTAGTCATAGATAACTGCTGCATCCAAGTTCAGGACTAGAAGACAATACCAGATTGTCTGTCTACTCTGACCGGCACTACTTAGGCCACTAAACCTCACCTTGTTGTTCTCTCCTCCTCCCAAAATTGAGTACAAAATCTGGATGAGACTGAAGTACTACAGTCTCCTGGAGATTAAATTGTGTGCCACAGACAGAGAATAGGAGGGATCAAGAAGTACTAATGCCTAGGGTCTCTGTAATGTCAGGGAACTAAATAGGTGAGAGATGTCCAGGTGATCTTAGCAAGCAACCCAAGCTCCATGTTCCAGTGGAAGACAGAACAATCTCAGGGTCCTTGCCAATCTAACCTGGGGGGCAGTTCCTTTCTGGACCTAAAAAGGACAGTCTGACCCTGAGCATGTGAGCAAAATCCACAAGCCAAGCATCTGAGACTATTCTCTTTACCACCTCAGAGCACTGGTCCCTCGCGTCACCATTTAGGGTCCTCTCTCACATTTCAGGGAGAGGTAGGGGAGGAGGTAGAAACTTCCTTCCTTCCTGACTCTTCCAGGAGACCACCTGAAGCCCTGAAGCATGGATCCAAGTAGCTACCACAGAACTTTTTATTGTTTTAAGGGGGTTGGCTGCTGTTGATATTGACAGACACACCATGCAATAGCAAGATATTAAAGGAATACTACCAACTTGAATCTTTTTAAATTAACTTGAAAACTCAGGTAGCATGTCCTCTTCAATGCTTCTAAAAACATTTTTTTCTGAAAAAATGAACACCTTTTCTTTACTGTTTGTTTCAGTGTGTTGGGTAATAATTTAAAAATAAAACTGATTTTATTTAAGGGGTTTTTTTAAGTATTTGAAACTGACAAATGTTATGGTCTAAATTAAATCTATTAAAATAATTTAAATTAAAAACAACTCTCAAGCTGTTCTGATTCGCGGCCAGAGTTGTTAAAATAGTTAAACTGCTGAGCTTGTAGGATGTTACTGGCTAACCACTTGGAACCATAGTTCATTGAAGTGCTAAACCAACTTTTGATAGAACTGGTTGAATCAGCTAGTTCATTCAGAGTTGAGAAACTGATGCATTAGAAAAGCAAGGAAATTTGTCTTCCTCTTTTAATTAATGAATAAAAACAATATGAAAGGATGAGGCATCCTAGTTCTAAAATCTTAAAGGATATTGTGACCAGAAGTAATTGGTTCAGTTTACTAATGCTGCATTTATTTAACACAGCTTTTATTTGAAAGTAAAAAAATTGTGTGTCCAGTATATTTAAGGTAGTTTTTATTTAACTAACAAAAAACAAAATGCTGTTTTGCATGCTTTGAATTGATTTCCAGTGTCTATCCACAGCAGCATGATACAAATCACAAGTGTAAAATATTAAACTACTAAATCAGAAATGAATATTCACTATTTTCTAATGTAATAAAAATTAAGAATCTCCATTAATGCATGTTAATCTATTTAATTGGTTTAAATAAATGTATATAGATATAGTGTAGTTTCATGGTTGGCAAAAAGTACTAAAGTTAGCATAAATTTAATTGCAAATTTCCCGTTTTTAAATGTCTATCAACCAATGAGAATCAACTTTTTCTTTAGGAGAGTAGCAAAGTAGAAATACAAAATTGAGATTAAGCTGATTAAAATCAGCAGGCAGTAAGCCTGGATTTTAAAGTTATGAATAAATTACACTTTTTCTGTGTCAAGCTATATGTAGAGCGAAATGAATTCACTTCAAAGTGAACAAAAACAGCATTTCAATTTTAAATCTCCTGGGGATGGGCGGGGGGAGCTTTCAGCTGTGACCATGGAATCCCAACAGGCCAATTATAACTACTTGAATTGTCTAACTGATAAAATTATTTGGTCTCAGTTATGTGCTTCACTGATTTGCTGTTGGATCAGGTATAGTCTAGTCCAAGCTACAAATACAGAAGCAGCATGAAGGACCAGAGATGAGTGGCTGCTGTATGTTCACTAAAAGAAAAGATTAGGTTTCTACTACCCAGCACTAGAGTGCAGGGTTTCTGCACAAGGGTCATGGTGAATTCTATAGCAGTGGCAATTTTTTAAATCAAGATTGGACATTTTCCTAAAAGATTCTGCTCTAGGAATGATATTGGGGAAGTTCTATGGCTTGTGGTCACAATGTGCCCTTCCAGATTTGATGATGTGACTGGGACAGGAACAAAGGGAACTGCCGCTCCCCCACATTCTCTTCAAAGGGCAAGTGACACAATGCTTGTCTTTCTCTGTAGATGTTGTAGGGATAGATAACGGTGGTAATAACACCTCTGGATTTGTTTTCTTCCTGCAGGTGTGTGATGTGTATCTTAAGTATAACCTTCCCTTGTTGGTGATGCCACCTCCTGGAGTTTTCTACCCAGCACTACTCAGCATGGATTCTGTTAATCTTAACCAGCTCTGCTACATTATGTACAGGTAACAAAGATGGGGGGGGGAGGGGCTTTCAACTTCATCACATCTTTCATTCTGATCACCTGTTGGGGAGATGACACTCTTCATGTTGTCACATAAGAGCATGGAAATTCCATTGTCTTCTATGTTTTCTTCCCCTTTCTGTGTGAGAGGGACAGGAGGTGGAGCTCTTGGCCTATTCTGAGTGCTGGGCATGTACGTTTACAATTGTGCTTCTCAACCTTTTCCATATTGTTACCCAAGAACAGTAGAAACAAGTTTCAGGAAACTGCTCCCTCCCCAGGGTGTCATCTCTGTGGAGGTAGGTGTTCCCTTAGTACTTTGAGAGAGCTTAAGTAGCTCATCTACCAGGCATCAGTCAGGAATTGAACCTTCAACTTCAGACTTCCAAGCTTGTGATCTAACCATTACTCACATTTTCAGAAGCAGCAGCACTCGGCAATTCTGTTTAGGGTAGCACTGAATATGAGGGGCTTTGCTGCCTCTAGAGCGCCTGGAATCTGCCTGCTGGCCTGGAGAATGTAGTGTTCATTTCTCTGTAGGATCTATTGAACTGCTGCTGTTCATGGCAGTGTTAGTTCCAGTGGTTGCATCTGATAAAAGAAGTAGCCAATTGCTGACAGCTGGCGTAGGGCTGTCCATGTGGTTTTCTCTCGGACGATACTGCAGGGTAATTAACATGACAGAGCGCTCTCTAGGAGATAAGAGCAGCTAGTGCTTATTTATACAGAACAACTGTCAGCTTCCATTACTTCCAGTGGCTTACATTTTCTATTCTCATTGAATGAAAAGTTTCTTCTTGAAGGTGCACTGCATTTTTGTGCTACAGTTCAGTGCTGCACATTGCATATAGCCTGTTGTCGTATGAAGGTTGACTTTGTCCCTTCCAGTTCTATGTTCTCTATTAAGGAGCCTGTCTATTACTTGAATGAGAGCTCATGTGTTAGTATATTCCTTCTTCCTAGTCCCTGGATGGACGCTGGCCCTCCTCCTATCAGTATTTGTACATGGTGGAGGAGGAAAACTCAGCTGTCTTCATTCTAAGGCAACATCCCTGCTCTTCCCTGGTATTTATCTGCACTGGAATTCAGAGGGCACTTAAACTCTTCTGTTTGTTCATTCCTTTAGGTATCGAACCAACTTGGTAGCTGCAAAAGAAAATGAACTGATCAAAAAGGTACTATGAACAAACCTTTGTAATAAAGTACTGTAGATGATAATGTCAAAGTTAGACTCAGGACTCAAGATTATTGTAGACTACTCTGTTTTATTAGCAAAGTGCTTCACTAATACAACCAGAAAAAGTGAGACCCCCACACAAACCCAAGTCACCTTATTTATACAGATAAAAGAGTAGAGCAGACAAAAGATTGAAAAAGGGCACGAATTGACAAAGTTACTTGGGGTCAGTCAAGTATCTCATTTCCTTATTAAGTCTTACCAATCTGCTGTTAATGTCTCACTATCACCCTTAAGTGGAATTATCGTCTTCTGCCTTAACATCCTTCTTCCTGCTTACACACAAACAACTTTACCTTAACATCTCTCTTCCTGCTAGAGGAACAAACAACATTTCTTTAATTCATTTTACTTGTACAATATAATTCAGTCTACTTTCACAGTAATAAAAGGGTTATAAACTAGTTGTTGGGGAGGCAGTGTTTTCATTACTGTTGCAAGGAATGATGGTAATATACTGTACCACTGAATTGTTTTCTGGTCTCCTCAGACAATACTGCAATTCAAGTTCAGTAGCCAGACTTACCAAGAGTACAACCAGTACATAATGGCCATGGTGGGCTGTCTATGGACATCAAGTGCTTTCCAGAAAGATATCCACCCTCAGGGCATTCGCCTAGATCCGGAAGTACTGAAGAAAACCAGAGTGCAGGAGGTCAGAAACAGCTTCAACATTGTCCATCACCCAGCCCTGATGGGCTATGCTATCCTCTTTTTGCAGCAGGTAAGGGTGTGAACCATAGTGGAGCCACCCTGAGTCCGTCACTCCTTCAGAGTTAAGCTAAAAAACTGCTTCCCTGTGTGCAAGTTCTTTTCCTTCTGTCCTTATCCTGAGGTTCTCTTACACCAGGGTGGGGAACCTTCTTTGAGTCGGGGGCTGCACACTCACAGAAAAATTAGTCGGAGCCTGCACACGAGTGAGAAGCACGGGGAAAAAACCCTCACTATGGCCCCTGAATGAGGAGAGAGACACTCCCCACATTCCCCTCCCATACCAGAGCTTGGTAGATTGTGTGCTCCCATCCCATGGGGAGGCAGTGCAGCCTCCCTAATGTTGGGGTGGAGGAGCCCTGAGCCTCAGGGGCCAGATCCAGGCAAGCAGGGGCCGGATGCGGCCCTCAAAGCCTGAGGTTTCCCCATCCCTGTCTTACACCTTCCCACTCTTTGTAGCAGTAAGACATTGCTGATGGGCAGTGCTAGCATTCCTCATCCTGCAGCACTGGCTGTTCTCTACGTGGGAGCCACAACCAGACTTAAAAATTGTTAGGAAAATAAAGGAAAAGTTCTTGTCTGCTCTTTCTGTAAACAAGCTCCATGGCTGAGTAAATCTTTCCCGAGCACAAGAGGGTGCTGCTCTGCAGCAGATTGCGAGAACAGTCCCTGAAACAGTGAGGTAATAAACTAAGCCTTGTGGGATTTTGTCATTTTACCCCCTTTAATAGTGTGGAGTTGGTGGTTCCTTAGTATTTGAGGCATAGGAGTTCAATACATCTGTAAATATTCCTTGTTCCTGTTCAGAAGGATTGCCTTCTGGCAGAGTGTTCTCTGGTGCCATGCCATTTATGGACCGGTTTAAGGAGAATGCTGCAGTTGTCTCCTAGTGCATCCTCACAATTGCTATTCCTTCCTTGCCCTTGGGGAATTCCTGCTTTAAGAGGGGATTCAGCTGAGCCGAGGCTCAGCAACTCACAAGAGGATTTCATCTGATCTGACTCCTGTTTACTTATATTTTTTTCCCCCTTCCACAAGGCTTGGCCAGAAGATAAAACCTTGAACTTCAGCTTAATTAAGGTAACATGTTTTTATTTTGAAATACTATATGAAAACTCGTATTGGCTAGTAATATGATTATAGGGGTGCAGTTCACATCTTCAGAAATACCCTGTCCAGGAGAAGAATCAGAGCTGGAAAGGATTTATGCTCTCATTTGGTCATGCCACATGAGAACTCAAAGATGAAGGCTTACTCATGGACCCAGAGATGTGTGCTTCAGTTTTGTCCACTAAAGAGTTCCAGGTCTTCACCGTGTGTTACCTGATTACTAGAGCCATGAGCTCTGGTCTGAAAGCATTCTGGCATAGCAGCCATGTACAGCCAGTGGACTGCGATACTTACACACATTGACCTTACAATCAATGCATCCTCAGGACAGAGACATTTTAGTTACGTCTTAACTATTGGAAAATTTGCTTGTCAGAATTTCCAGTACAAGTCTAAATAGTGTTAACATTCTGGGATATTAATATATTGTCCTCTAGTTTTGAAGTGAATGTCCTGCTAGTGACTGGTGCTAGAGGCAGAAATCCTCCAGGCTGACTCTATTCAGCGGACAGTGATGGTTTGTGTGTCCCTCCCTCCCCCCATGCTGCCTGTCAATGTGCCTCAATCCTGAACTAGGAGAACTTCTCATTGTGACAAGGGGAACTGAGTTTCATGAGTCCTCAATCCTCAGCCACTTTGCTGGACCTGCCAAGGAAACATGGGATTTATGTATTTCCTGAGTAGTTATCAAATGGTAATGACTGTAGATCACTAGGCCAGATTTGAAATGGTGACTTTTAGGTAAAAAGCTTGGTGTCAGATTCTGAGAGGCATCCGGTCACTTGAGGTGGGATGTAATCTTTGTGCAGGTGCATAATCATATGGCAGGGTAGATGTAGTCAGGCTTTTTCAGTCTGAATTTGCATATTTGCAGGTTGAGGCAAGAGGAGGGTACAACTTCACCTATGACCCCAGATGCTTACTTCTACTCTTTGTTTCTATAGGGTAGAAGGTGGAACTGGTATCTGGAATATCTCTACACACAAGGATTACAAGGCCTCAAACTCTTCATTGAAAGCAGCATCAATCGTGTTTCCCAAGCCTCCCAAACCAAGTCGGACAATGTTCAGATGTAACAAACTGGTTTATATGGATTCTTCTGATTGTCCAGATCTGGAAAGCAGAGTATAATGGGCCCTGCCTCTTACACCTAGGGGAAGAAGTAGACTGGCAGCTAGCCATGTTACATTTTTACACTGACATCCCCTTAGAATGGTTTTATTGGCCTTCCTCAATGGAGCACTGAACTTGATGTCCCTGCCAGACTTCTGTGGTGTGATGCTGTTGAGTTGGTGTCTTTTTGCAAAGTGTCTGTTAAGTATCAATTTCCTCATACAGCAGTGTTTATTTCAGCTAAGCCACAAACACTTCTGCTTTTTTTATTTCATTGTGGCATTTAGTAGGGCACCTTCACTTAAAATGATTCCTGACTTCCCTCTGCAGCATGCAGTGAAGCGTGTGTGTATGTTGCGCGCACACACCTTTTTAGGGGATTGTATGTATTGACTTGTGCTGAGTCCTTTTGTGGTGATGTCTGTTTATACTGCTTGAGAGGATCTGTAACAGGCTGGCCTACCTGACCCTTTGTATTTTACTTTGAAGATGAAACCTCCTAAGGATGCTTTCCTTGGTACCACTCTTTAGGACATTTTCACGTTGCAGCTGGAAGATTAAGTGCTAAAGTTCATGTTTTATGGATGTTTTGAGTATCCTACGGCATTGCTAACAGCTCAATATTTTCTTGTGACCAATCTAAATGCAGTTTTCCCTTGTTTGTAGCTATGTACATAACTGTGTATTATATATATTTATATTATGTAAAATACTGCCTAAGCACCACTGCAGAGCAACTCTTGCAAACTCAGATCAGTTAAAAGAAACAACTCCATTTCATAAGCTACGTATTTTGGGTGTAAAGCAGGGTTGTGATTCTTTAGCTTCTAGCTTCTGAGAACAGAGAGAACGCTGATCATGATTTCAAGTAGTTTGTACTTTTTTTTCCCCTGCCTCCAAAAAAGATACGTCAGGAAATTTTGTGGGTTTTTCCCCCTTTTTCAGCAATAGTTACCAACAGATGGTGGTGAATTACCTCTGAAAGACCCTACTTATTTCTTTGTCTCCAATACCATGTTACCCGTAGGCTCGTATTGTTGAAGGCAAATGGCCTTGCTAATAAACTCTTATGCTCCAACAGTGGGTCTGAGAGATGGTTTTTTATTTTCTCATCAGTTACTATGCTCAGCAGTGTTGCTCCTTTCTTCCCAGGGAGGAGAGAACCTAAGCTTTTTTTCAGTCGAGTTATTCTGAGTTCAATTAGAAGTAATCTGTGATATTTTACACTCTATAGAGTGGGAAGAAGGCATCAAAACTAGGCCACCCTCATGGGGTCCTAATAAGAAAAAGATCTCATCTGTCCTCTCTTTAAAGAGTAGTTCAAGGCCCAGAATGGATCCTATTGATGTTCTCACTGTGCTCCAGTATCCCCTCACGTTGGACTGACTTACCTGGTAACGGTTCCTCAGTACTGAAGCTCAGTGCCCACCACATCAGTACCCCTGGCCTCCATCCAGCTCCCCTAGGTATCATCAATCCCAGTACCAAAAGTTTCTATGGTGTCAAGTGATCTACAGTTCATCCACAAATATCACAGGAGCCTGTCTGACTTCTAGGGCACATGGCTGCCTTTATCTACATAACTCCACATGCCTGACTTCATCTATACTGTGCAGTGAGTGGTTGAAATCTCTGCCCAACATGTATCCTCTAAATGAAAGAGGTTTCTCTAATTTGCCATTTAGAAACAAAGATCATTTTTGTGTTCATACGGTGTCTGTCACCAGAGGTCCTGCTCTGACTAGCATCTAGAAGCCCTATGCTTACACAGATAAATTTAACTTGTGAAAGAATCTTCTAAATATGCAAAGGGGATTCCTTTTTTCTACTGTTACCCTGCAGGCTGCAGCTGACAGATGCTTCCACATTCTCAGGGGCAGCCCATTTAGACTATCTCCATACAAACCCATGGACTTAGCTCCCAAACTCCAGCATGCTTATTTCAAGGCAGACTTCCTGGGAAGCTATGTACCAGACATATACAGCGTTCCTTTCCATAATGAAGGGATGGACAGATCGTGTTGGGACAGACAGTGCCCTAGTAATGTGTTAGATTGTGATCAGCTGGCCAGCTGATATTTCCTACTCCTCCCTCTCCAAAAAGCTGAGTCTCTGGAAATGATGTATTCACCATGAAATCACTCCAGGAGCTTTCCACTTGCTAGATTTGCAGACCTTGTCCTTGGCATGAAATCTGCAACCAACCACAGTGGTCAAAGACATTGTATGAGGTGTAGTGTCACATTCACATTTTGCTGTGGGGGGCAAGGTGGCTGGAGTTCTGGTTTCCTGTCACTCACATGCCTGTAGTCCATGACTTATATGATTACCTATCAATGGCTTTGATACTACGGGTTCTAACAAAGCTCAGCTAGAGCTCATGGTCATGCTGATGCTACTATCTTGGCCAACCCAGTTCTGGTTCTTAGATTTGATTGAATATGGTGGATAATCAGCTGAACACCATTTACCTTTGCAGTAAGATGAAGGTCTAAAACATAAGCCCATGTAGCACAGGCCTGATCTGAGGCCTAGCTAACAATGGATAAAAACATGGCTAACATAAAGCAAAGCTAAGCTGTGAGTAAGAGGCAGGCTCCAGCTCACAGAACTTGGCACAAACAGGGCTGAGTGTGCAAAACACTAATTGGTACTAGACCCAGGTGTAGAACAGCCATTGGTGCTAGGTACAAGTAAAACAGTATTGGTACTGGTGATAAGTTGAAATCACACAGTACCACCAGCTAATTAAAAAAGACCTTGGTACCCACGTTCCCCACAGTTGCATACCCAGGCTCAGGAAAGGGTCGAAAATGACAGCATGATGGAGAGAGATGATCGAATTAACCCACAGAGTTATCACTGTTCTACAAGGTACAGGGTGATTGGTGGTAACCTAACACATCAGGAGTGATGTGTAACTTGTTTATGCCTGTATATAAAGTGGTGTCGGGGGAAGGGCAGTCTTTGTCTGACCCGGGGCAGTAGAGGTTTCCCACTGATTGAGTCAGTCCATTGTGGCAAGTACATGTGCGTAGTGGTTCAACAGAGTCTACTGACAACTGAGGCTGTACTTCGCTTAACAATAAACCTGGCCAGGTGCCTTCGATCCTTCTTTCGAAGTCTGCTGTGTTAGCTAATTGCGCAAGTCAACACAGCCCACATCATTGAGCATGCTCGCAAGCAGCCTTCTGGTTATCACTGGTGAAGCAGGAACGCAATGGGATGACCCCGATAGTTACTGCTGGCCAAAAGACTCTGAGCCCAAGCAGAGGGGACACGTGCCCATCAGGTGTGGGATCTATATGGACAACACATCCTGCAGAACTACAGTTAATGTAAGATAAGTAACGTCTTTGATCTCTTTCCACAGGTCAGGTCTGGATACCAGGGGGAGGAGGAAACAAAGAAGAAAGAGACTTGTCCATCTGACAAATGCCATAGACAATTTCCAAGTACCAGAAGGGGAGCTGTGTTAAGTCTATGTCCTGTGGCACCTTAAAGACTAACAGATTTATTTGGGCATAAGCCTCTGTGGGCAAAACCCACTTTGTCAGATGCATCATTATTTTTGTGTTCAGAATATCCAGCAGCTAAGTAACTGTTCTGTTTGATGGATAGAGCTAAACCAGTCTAGAAGGGGCTGTCTTTCATCCACTACAGGTGTTTCTGTGCTCCCATGAGTAAAAGGAATATGTACAGGTAATAGCATAATGATTCATTTATCCTAATACATGCTAACTACTTAGCAATATTGGAGTTAATGGTTCCTGAGTACATGTATGCCAGTATTTCCCTGGAGTGCTGCTCCTAATGTTTAGTTTGGAAATTGGAGGCTCATCTCATCATGCATTGAAACAGGGTTATTGTCACCACTCGCTAATCCAGAATTCTGTCCCCATGTGCATATGTATTACTGTCGTCTTTAAATCCATAAGCGCACGCTTTTCTCTAAGGCTGCCCAAAGGGCCACAATTAATGTTGCCATGGTTAAATAATGTTTTTTCTTTGCCTACGCATCTTTCACACTGTTCAGTGAGGTGCCCTGTACTGTATCGAGTAACTTGCTCATATTTTCTGATAACATTTATTCTGTCTTTTTCTGTACTCCTTGGTTTTCCTGCTCTCTTTTTTTTTTTTTTTTTAAAGTCTCTGACATCCTGACACTTAAACACCTGTTTTTGTTTCGTTTTGTTTGGGATGGGGGTCGGGGTGTTTGCTTTTTGTGCACTGGAGAGGAGAGACCGGCGCTGTACCTGTGCTATCTTGCTTTCTCCTTGTCTAAATGCCATGGTAGAACCTTCTATAGCCCATTTTCTTTGCCGTGTTGAAGGGATCTCCTTAGAACCCTGGCTGGCTGATAACTAATTTGAGACTGAAAATCTCCACTTCCTCATTCATTTCTTCTGGTAGTTCTGATTTGCCCACCTGCCCCATTATTTTGCAGTATTATTCCTCTGACTCCACTCCTGCTACACCTCATACTGAAGGTGTGTGCTTGGCTAAAGTTGCCCTTGTCACAGTGCCACATGGGCGTGATGTTCTATTAGGGCCGTTGTAGAAAAACACTGCATTGTGAGAGGCTTTTCCTCATTTTTAGCATCATGTTCGCGCTCCTGGTCAGGGCTCCCAGACTCTTCTAAGTGCAGGTCAACACAGCACCGCTCCGTGAGGGAATGGCATGCAATCTGCTTAGCTGAAAAAACTATGTATTTTTAGCTACAAAATACACAGGGAAACTAAATGTACAATTTAGTTCTTGACCCTCATCTTCTGTACAGCTTTAATTTGCCAATAAAGCATGTGCTTTTCTCATGGTACTCGACTTTTCTTGCTCAGGATAATGGGGTGTGTATGTGCAATGCTCTGCCAGCCCAACAGATTACCCTAAAAGTTTGGCGACTTTCAAGTGCCATCTTGTCCGGGGCACAATGCTTTATCTCCTCACCCCCATGAATATATGCCAGCATTATGCTCCAGAATGTAAATATACAGATGCCACTACCCCTTGGTTCCCTCCATAGAAGGAGGTTCTCCCTGTGTTTAATATGAGAGGTTCATTATGTCACAAGCAGGGTAGATCACCAGCTGTTCAGCTCTAAACTGCATTCTGCTGTTTTCTAGTTAATCTGCTTTAAAACACCCAAACAGTGAAGCCTTCCATTTTAGGGAAGCTACTAGGGCTTCCTAGTATATGTGCAATGTGCCCCAGGCGACATGTGACCAGGATTCATCACTGAATTTGGTCCATTGGCTGCATCATTAGCTTGCCCGGCCTTGTGCTGACAGGGAGCATGGCATGAAGGCTGATCTATGCCCTCCACTATGCATTCATTCATTGGACAGGATTTCAAGTGACAAGATCAGATCCTCAGTATTTATCACCATAGCTTTACTGACTGCAATGGAGCTACGCTGCTTTACACCCGCTGAGCATCTGGGCCACAATTTGAAGGCCAGAACCACTATGTTTTCCAAAGTCAGGCATGTTAACCTGAACATAATGTGTCTGGAAATGGGGAATCGGACAGTTTTCTGTAGCCATCTGACCTCGGTGTGTGTGCAAATTCAATGTTCTTTTCTGGGTGTGTTGTCATAATCCATCAGAGTTTCATTCCTTACCCTGTGCTGTCCTCTCAGATCCACTTAGCTTGTGCTGAAGGAGTTAACAGCTTCAACCTGTTTTCTGCTGGAATGAAGAAACTGGTCCCTCTGTGTTCCTGCTTTCTAGTCTCTTGTTGGCCTACTTCCCCGTGCTTGCATTTTGCATTCCAAATGCCATGAATAAATCAAGACCCAAGGATTTAGAAGGTGGTACAGCTGTAGCCACTCAGCAAATTGAACCTCTGAGGCTTGAATAGCAGCTCTAACAGCTGCCAGGGTGTGTGCTTGCAAAGTCTTCTAATGGCACGTAACTGGTACCAAAGGACAACAATTAGCACTTGCTTCAGTACCCAGAACAATTGAGTTTAACCCTTGCTACTTATTTTAACCATGATTTCTTGCTACCACTCCCTTTGTCTGAGCTAATGCTCTGTTGTCAACCCCGGTGCTAGGCAAAAGCCCCCTGAGTACCGTGACAAA